AGAGCACAGCACATGTCTCCAAACATGAGTCTTTTTCCAGTGTGATTCAGCTAATGGTAATCTGGCTTTGTTGTTGATTCTGGCTTGTTGATTCTCCATGTTGTCACAGAAGGAAGCAGTGTGTTTGAGCTCTTCCTTCAATACAATTCTACAGTTGTGCCTCACATTAACTCAAATGTTGTTAAGTAGCCAATCAGAAACTTCCAAAACCGTGACATCATCATCTGAGCTTTTCCAGAGGCAGAATAATCTTATTGTGTGTAAATTTGACTAACAAGAAAAGTTCTCAAATGTTCTCAAACAATATCTCTCTCATTATTCTGCTGTTAAGCAGAACAGAAACACACGTGATCATCCTAACTGACCTAAAGGAGAAAAGGTTTAGTCACATTAACATCTGACTTTATTTAAATGGTTATGTGCCTTTTATACAGTGTATGTAAACTTCTGCTTTCAGCTGTACAGTATGTCTGTGTGTCAGTGCATGCGTCCATATGTATGTGTGTGTGTCCGTGTATATTAGGGTTGGGCATCTAAGCTATAATGCCGATCCGATACGCATCTCGATACAAAGAATACGATCCGATATATTAGCGATACATTTATGACATATTGCGATGCGACACGATACGATTCACACCCATATCACGATACAATGCGATAATTCAGCACTAACTAATTAAATCAAGTTTATGAGATGATGTGAAAGAGGATGATGTGCCATTGAATGAGTTTGATTATTTATTAACCAAGCAAAACCAAGACGTTTTTTACAAACTGGCTCTTCTCTCAGAGCCAGAGTGTCAGTTTACAGTAGAGGGCCATTTTAGATAATATAGCACATATTATTTAAGGATTTTCAAGATAAACAGAATGTATAAGTGCAATGTATATTAAAATATATATATTTGCACTCTTTCAACATAAAGGTTGAGCATTGCACAACAAGAATTGTGATTTAACTTTTCAACTATGAAATCAAGTTTTACAAAGATATTTTGCCACTGATTATTCAAAACTTAAGGTTTTGAACTAGCAGTGTTATGCTGCTTTGAAACATCACTGTCACTGTAAACAACAGGCTAATAAAAATATAACAAACCAGCAATCTTCTTGCTGTGAGGTGGTCAAACTACCCACTGTGCCACCGTGACACCCATTATTTTTATCATTATTATTATTAATATTATTGTTATTATTATAATTAAATAAAAATTAACAGGAGGAGGTGTTTAAAACCTTCGTTCTCCGTGACACTAGGCTGAATATCTTTGCATATGAACAATGCAATAGCATTCGTTATTGGCGTAGAGCGAGCAGAACTGTTGCGCATGGAAAAAAAAACTTGCAATGCTTTTCTCACCACTTTTGGAGCTGGTTGAAGCAGTGCGAAAGCCGGGGATGCAGAAACACTGGAAGATGCTTTCACAACAACACCGTGGCGCCGCTTCAAGTGAGATTTCAGATTAGTCGTACTGCCTGCGTATTTTACAGATGCGCGGCACATTTTGCAGATTGCATCTGTCCTGTCATGTCGTCCATCCTTAAATCCATAATGTTGCCATACTTTAGATTTAAAACTCAGTGGGGAATAAAATGTTTGTTTTGCTTCTCGCGCTTTCTGAGGGCGCTCCACTATCTTCATCCGCACACCTGATACACTGAGTTGTAGTGTGTGCACATCCGCAAATCCGTTGCTAAGGCTTACTTTATGTAGGTCGATTAAATTATGTGCCAAAAACAGGTTGACAACACTTGTTAATAAATAAAAAATACATTCTATATTAAAAATATAAGCTGTATCTCGGAAAAACCGATGCATCTCGCAAAAACCGATGCATCTCGATTTGCTTCCAAAATGTCATTCATCCTCTGCTGCTCTACCGATGCACTCGCATCCTGCACGCGCATGACCGCGTATCGATACATATCGGTTAATCTTCCCATCCCTAGTGTATATCTGTGAGCATGCGTGAACTAACCCTTTAATAGCAGGTGTAAACAGAGTCAGAGTCTTTATAGTGTGTGTGTGTGTTTACCCTCTTTCAGGCTGTCCGCAGACTGTTTGGACATCAGGCTGGAAATGGACTCCACCACGGAGTTTCGTTTCCTGAACCTGCAGACAGACGGACAGATGTTGAGATGTGCAGATCATGTTGAGACGATCATGTGATGTCGTCTCCGCACCTCTGGCAGGTCTGTAAGGCGTCTTTAATGGTGGCCATCCCGGTCTGAATGTCTTTGTGCTCGAATGTCATTGTGGCCTGCATGACCAGAATACTGCTGTAGCCCAGAGCGTGATACATGCTGTCCTTCGACCTGCACACACACACATTAAACTTTGTGTTGTGTGGTTTAACAGAGATTTTTCTAATCATAACAGTGTTAATAACTCATCTCTAATAACTGATTTTCTTTTCTCTTTGCCATGATGACAGTAAATAATATTAGACTAGATATACTTCAGGATACCAGTACTCAGCTGATGAGTGTGTGTGCTATACCAGGGCTTGAGGAGGTCGAGGGCTTCAGAGAACTTGTTGTTGAGGACGAGGTTCAGAGCCATGGTGCACTCCTCTATAGACGTACACAAGTCCATCTTAGACGCCCTAAACACACACACACACATACACATGCATAAGCACACATACATATGGACATATTAGACTGTTATATTAGAGAGATTATTGGACTGATTTCATCCATGAAGCAGACAGGTGATCTGTGTCTGTATTCCTCAAACATTTGATCTCACCATCACTATCTTTGTTACTGCTCAGGGCTCGAAATTAACCTTTTTGCTTGGTAGCACCGGCGCTCTTAACTTTAAAAATGTAGGCGCATCAGCCAAAATTTAGTCGCACTTACTAATTATAAGCACCGTTACTACAAGTTTTATACAAATATATTTATTGCATTAAAATATATGCAATATATAAAACTAACAAGCAAATATATATATATATGCAAGCGTGAGAAAAATATGTCTCAATGAAATCCCGTTATCTCAAGAGAATAGATATTTATAACAGAACTGAGTGAGCAAAAGATACACGGAGCGCTCACCGGCCCTGCACACACTGCTGGACATGAATGAATCTGTTACGGTATAACTGTGCTGTTCACACGGGTGCTGTCTGATATTGCACTGGTGCTTTTGACATATACTGTACCTTATTATATGCATACGTCATGTTTATAGCAATACCGGTCTTCAAGAGTAGCGATGTTAGTTGACTCAGTGTAAGCCTGTTTGTGAGGGTGTACGCGGTGTTAAATTTGACATATAGCTGCCCCTTGCACGACAGCATCTGGCGATTATAAGAAGGATTAATCAGAAGCTCTCGTGCTAGATGTGGCAAACAGTTACCTGCAAACTCCATCCCACAGACTTTTCATAGCGGACTTGAAGCCAACGGAAGTCTTTTATCCGCTCTTGGAAAAGTGTAGATGGTGGATTAACATTCAGCACATGATCACTAGTAAGCTGTGTCATTATTTGTAACTTTAGATGGTTTCTAAAACACAATCTGTCAGTGTTATCTTCATTCTCATCTTCAGCGCTTTACAGTTTTTCGCGGTAGCAGCTCTCTCTGTCATCCCAAGCCAGAAGGCATTGACTGAGTGATTGACAGCTGATATTTCAGCGCTAGAGCAGTGGTGGGCCAATAAGAAGAGTGTGAAGGCGGGGCAAGCATTACAGACTTGGCTTTGTTTACTGCAGCAAGTTGACATGACAACTGTTTTAAACCATTCCTGAGCGCTGCGTTTCGCATTTCAAGTGCAGACAAAGACCTTAGAGATGCATTCTGCGTCCCGCATCTTCACGTAGTAACACTGTCTTGACTAGTGTGGTTGAATGACACTTGTCCTGGGAGCACTGTACCAATGTGGCGGCGCTATTGACACATGCTCAGGGTCCGTATGCGATATCTAGTGTATATATCTATGGTCTTGGTGTACAGCCACAAAGCCAAGAAGAACAGTATCTGCCATGTCCTGTTGTTGCTTTACGATGCCGTCTTAAAGTACGAGCGGTTTTCGCTTTCTCCAGGGAGCTCGCGATGGCGTCTATATTTGATATAACGATCGTCCTGAGCTGATGATGATAACGTGTGTGTGATTATTGAAGTGTCTCCATCATCTGATCCTTTCAGAAAAGGACAAATGTGAGAGTGAAGCGCAAACAAACAAAGGAGAAACCCGACAAAGCTCAGGAGCAAGCAACCTGAAACTGCCATGTTTATAATCGTCTTCTAGACTATTCTGAACTGGGAATGACAGAATGACTCTCTAACAGAGGCTACATGTGCTGCTGAAGATTACAGACACAGATGAGAGGTTTGCGCTGACTGTGGGCTACATGTGTGTTGGTTTTAAACCTAAATAAGGACTAAATGTCTGCTGTGTGTGGTTCTTCTGCCATTAGTAACATATCGGGAGACAGTAAGGGTCTGCATGTGTTCATATATGTTCTTTTATTTATTTATTGTATATAATTACAGACGTTACAGTATTTCACGGTCATTGATCTGCAGTTATAATAAGATCCTGCTCATAGAAAAGTTAGTAATAAACATTTATACAGTATTTCTTTGTGTAAAGTGTCTGTTTTGTGAGAAGTGCTGCTCATATGATATGCGAGCGACAGGTACAGCTTTACTGTAGACATTTATTCGAGTGAGAATGAAGTCGACTGAAATGTTCTGTCGTACACCACAAGTGTACAGTTGATAGTGGAAACGCAAGCTTGATAAAGGTGACCCGTACCGACCCGAACCGTGCTGTAGCAGTCAGTGGAAACGAGCCATTAAAGGAGCCGATCTCGCAAGGACACTTCTAAATAAATATTCCTGATCTGTACAGACTCAATCCTGAACTGTTTTTGTACATTTCTTTTTTTTTTATAAGAATAAATCAGATATTTCCTGGAATGTTTTTTATTCCCTCAGCTCAGATACTCACACTGGGATGCGATCGAAGGCGTCTTCGAAACAGTCCTGAAACAGACAGAGCAGATGATGAGCACAAACACTCGGACTATTCACATTATTACATCATCAAGTAGGATTAGATTATTTATTAAAGATTAAAACATTAAGACATTATATATATATATATATATATATATATATATATATAGAGAGAGAGAGAGAGAGAGAGATATTTAAATTATTTATACAATTATGACCATGTTACTTTGTTTAATTGTTCAATTTCTTTACTTACTGTTAGACTTCCCAGAAAACCATAAAGCGCTTTACTTACACGTTTACTTTTGCTCTCTCTCTCTCTCTCTATATATATATATATATTGCTATTGTTATAGATGCAATCTATCTATCTATCTATCTATCTATCTATCTATCTATCTATCTATCTATCTATCTATCTATCTATCTATCTATCTATCTATCTATCTATCTATCTATCTATCTATCTATCTGTCTATCTTTATTGATTATTCCCTACCGTGAGGTCAAAGTCAGCTTTACTGTCAATTCTGCCGTGTCTACAGACATACAGAGCGTTAAAACGATGTTACACTTAAACTCTGGGGGCATAAGCACACTGAAACTGGCTTCATAACACACACAAGCATCTCTCTCTGTGTGTTTGGGGTCATGGGAGTTGGTCTATGATCTATTTATAGATGTGCAGTTACGCAACCCAATTTAGAGACAGTCTGTGACACAAACCTGATGCTTTCAGTAGTTACATCATGTCTCCATATAATATAATCTAGCATGAGAAATTGAGAAATGCATCCTTCTCTTTATTAGAGACACCTTACTAGTACCAGTTTGGAGCCCTTTTGCTTTCAGAACTGCTTTAATCCTTCATGACGTCGATTCAACAAGCTACTGGAAATATTCCTCAGAGATTTTGCTCCATATTGACATGATAGCATCACACAGTTGCTGCAGATTTGTCGGCTGCACATCCATGATGCCAATCTCCCGTTCCACCACATCCCAAAGCTGCTCTATTGGATTGAGCTCTGGTGACTGTGGAGGCCATTTGAGTGCAGTGAACTCATCGTCATGTTCAAGAAACCAGTCTGAGATGATTGAGCTTTATGACATGCTGCGTTATCCTGCTGGAAGTAGCCATCAGAAGATGGAGACACTGTGCTCATAGAGGGATGGACATGGTCAGCAGCAATACTCAGGTAGGCTGTGGCGTTGATGCTCAATTGGTACTAATGGACCCAAAGAAAATCTCCCCCACACCATTACACCACCACCACCAGCCTGAACCGCTGATACAAGGCAGGATGATCCATGCTTTCATGCTGTTGAGGCCAAATTGTGAGCCGAACATCCGAATGTGTCAGCAGAAATGGAGACTCATCAGAGCAGCAACGTTTCTCCAATCTTCTATTGTCCAGTTTTGGTGAGTCTGTGTGAATTGTAGCCTCAGTTTCCTGTTCTTAGCTGACAGGAGCGGCACCCGGTGTGCTCTTCTGCTGCTGCAGTCCATCCGCCTCAAGGTTGGCCGTGTTGTGTGTTCAGAGATGCTCTTCTGCAGAGCTCGGTTGTAACGAGTGCTTATTTGAGTTACTGTTGCCTTTCTATCAGCTGGAACCAGTCTGGCCATTCTCCTCTGACCTCTGGCCTCATCAACAAGGCATTTGCGCCCACAGAACTGCCGCTCACTGGATATTTCCTCTTTGTCGGAGCATTCTCTGTAAACCCTAGAGATGGTTGTGCGTGAAAATCCCAGTAGATCAGCAGTTTCTGAAATACTCAGAGCAGCCCGTCTGGCAGCAACAACCATGCCACGTTCAAAGTCTCTTAAATCCCCTTTCTTCACCATTCTGATGCTCAGTTTGAACTGCAGCAGATCCTCTTGATCATGTCTACATGCCTAAGTGCAGTGAGCTGCTGCCATGTGATTGGCTGATTAGAAATTTGCGAAAACGAGCAGTTGGACAGGTGTGCCTAATAAAGTGGCCGGTGAATGTATACATAAATGCATGTATATATAACTATGTAAAGGCCTATTTAAAGTAAGAATTTTGAGAAGATTGAAGGAAAACAAGATTTCTCACATTTTTGTAATACCTTGACATGTCATGACTGACCAATCAGAATCAAGTATTCCAGAGAGCAGCGTGATGATGAGTTTGTGTGAGAATATGAGAATGATAGTCAGTAATGAGGAGGAATGAGGAACCAAGGCTCTGATTACAAGCTGAGTTTAGGAATTTGAGCTGGATATGATACACAACAAACTAAACCCAAAACTCACTGATGTACTAAAACACTGAATGTACTTAAAAAACAACAGCAGACGAAACACCAACAACAGAGTGTTGAACTGACGTGAGCAGAGCCGTGTCCTCTTCTGCAGCAGGTGAAGGATGATGTAGACGCTTAATATCAGGCGTCAGTCATCCTGCCATAAACACTCCTAATGCACACACACTGCCTCATAATGCAGTCTGATGTAGAGAGGGTGTGTGGGTGTGTGTGTGTGTGTGTGTGTGATAGAGTGAGGTTTACTCTCATCAATATTTAACTACATCTGTCAAAGAGCAAAGGGAAAGAACCCACCCAGTGACTGTACATCTCAGCGCGCACACACACACACACACACACACACACACACACACATACACAAAAACCCAACAAACACGCACAAACACACACAAACAAATTCCCTACACACACACATAGACATAAAAACAAACACAAAAACACACACACACACACTGTACACACACACACCACACACACACAGACATAAAAACAAAAATCCCCCCACACACACACACACACACACACACACCAAACACACACACACACACCAAACACACACAAACACCCTACTCATTAACATACACACTCACATGTGCAACACACATACACAGACATAACAAACACACACACATACAAAACCGAACAAGCACGCACGCACACACACACACACACACACACATACACACATTTCCTACACACACATAGACAAAAACAAACACAAAAACACACATACATACTGTACACACACACACAAACACCCTACACAAACACACACACACAGACATAAAAACAAAAATCCCCGCACACACACACACACACACACACACACACACATAAAAACAAAAATCCCCGCACACACACACACACAAACACCCTACTCATAAACATACACACTCACATGTGCACACACACATACACAGACATAACAAACACACACACATACAAAACGGAACAAGCACGCACGCACACACACACACACATACACAAATTTCCTACACACACATTGACATAAAAACAAACACACACACACATTCTGCACGCACACACACACACACAAACTAAACACACACATAATGTACACACAGACACAGACATAAAAACAAACACCCGTGCCCCCGCGCGCACACACACACACACACACACACACACACACACACACACACACATGCACACACAAAGATCCCACACACAAAATTACACACACATGTACACAAACACACACAGAGACATAAAAACAAACACCTGCACACACACATACAAACACCCTACACACAAACATACACACTCACACGTGCTCACAAACACACGCACAGACATAAACAAACACAACAAACACGCATACACCGACATTACACAAACACACAAATACATTGCCTACACTCACATAGACAAAAACACAAACACATACTGTACACAAACCACACACAAACACCCTACACACAAACATACACATACACACACACAGGCATCCACACAAACACAGACATAAAAACAAACACAGACAAAATAAACACACACACACAGACAAAAAAAAAACACACACACACAATTACACACAGTGAACAAAGGTGTGTGAATGAGTTCGGATGTGTTGCAACAGATCTTTATGAATGCTCTCCATGTGAAGACTGAAAAGCGGGTGTGTGTGAAGGTGAGGGTGTGTGTGAGAGTGTGCGGTTTCACATATTAAAACACAGGCAGACTCTAGCCAGAATGCTGGTAAACCAGAACATCCTTCCAGCCCCTTTACAAACAACTGTGGTGTGTGTGTGGGAAAGGTGTGTGTGTGTGTGTGTGTGTTACTGGGAAAGCGCTATAGAAATAAAGAGAACTTGACAGCACATACAACCCCAAATCAGAAAGAGTTGTATCAGTAAAGCATTTCCCACTCTGTGATGTCGCCGTTCCTTATCACAACATATAAGGGACTGAAGTCAGCAAGTGATGAAGTGTTTCAGGTGTCAATTTGTGCCATTCTTCCTGCAAACAAGTCTTAGGGTGGGCAACAGCACGGGGTCTTCATTGTCGCATTTTGTGCTTCAAAGCGCACCACACATTCTCTATTAGAGACAGGTCAGGACTGCAGGTAGGCCAGTCCAGTATCTGTATCCTCTTCCTGTTGGTCTGTTTATAGGCTTTATTGATGATGATCAGGACTCGGCATTAACTCTTTTGATCACCAGCCACAGTGGCTAGTAGCTTTCCAATGTTACTAGCCACTCTGCAATTCACCAGACACAATTTTCTGCCCTATTCTCTAATCTGCGTCCATGAGCCCTCACATTTCAGAAGTTTCACGTTGCTGTGTCAGAATCCTTGCTTGTAAAATACAGCCACACTTCAGAGCCCGTAGATTAAGCAAATTGGATGAAAGCTATCGTGGATCCTTCACTCGCTCAGCGGGTCCGCGGTATTGCGCGCGCGCGCGTGTGTGTGTGTGTGTGTGTGTGTGTGTGTGTGTGTGTGTGTGTGTGTGTGTGTGTGTGTGTGTGTGTGTGTGTGTGTGTGTGTGTGTGTGTGTGTGTGTGTGTGTGTGTGTGGTCCACTCAGAATCCAACATGGAAATCATTTTAGTTTGTTATTGGCTTTGATTGTTTTGAAATTCAAATGGCATTTAATGCCTGTCCTTTTATTTCTGTAATAAATACAGCGTTTCGTGATTAATCATGATTAATTAAAAAAAAAAGTGTATACATGAAAAAAAAAAAAAAAAAAAAATATATATATATATATAT